TGAAAAGAGTAGAGCGAATTAATATAATCATATCTAAAACTTTCGGCATCGTCAATAGAGTAATTTTTAAAATTACTAATGGTATTTATAGACATTTGTTATAAGTTGCAAGTATGCTTTTGTTAGTATATTGATTTGAATAAAATAAAAAATGTCTTTCATTCTAGTGTAATACTATTTACTTCAGAATGTATTTTCAGCTGCTGCCTTGACAGACATAATTTTATACAAATCATATTGTCTCGCTCATTCCAAATTTAACATATATATGATAGACTCAAATATCAATCGAAACTAAAACTCACTATTTATGCACATCCACTTATTGTTTTATATTTCCATTTAAAACTTCAGATAGAGATTAATTCTCTTGAGTGTATAATGTAGAAAAAAAGGAAACATCGTTTACTATCATTATATATTACATAACCAAGTGTTTAGTAGCAAGAAATGATCAAAGTATAATGTAATAATTCTTTTATATTCGCTCAGTAGAGAAGATGTTCAAGTACCACTACATTCTAATTTAATATATTCAAAACATAAATTAGATTTTTCCTTTTATCTAACGACGCAATATATAGCGATGGTTAAAGATATTTTTTTTTCTTTAAATCATGCTTACAATAACCATATCTGTAGTTACTCGACAGTTAGATATGCGGTTTATTTTGATTGTAGAAATACATATTCAACAAAGTAATCATTTATCTTGAGAATATTTGCGTGAGAATGTGGGTGTATAGTAGTATCACATGTGTTTGTCACCATTACTCTCTTTCTTTCTTCCCATAAGATAATTAATAGTATCATAAACTCATATGCAGCTGACAAAAATTTTCAATAACAACTACTCATTGAAAAGATAATTATCGAAAAACAAAAACAACTCGTGTTTTCATACTAGTCAATATTACAAAGTCGTTTTTATTAGGACAATATTGATGAGATAGTCAATTGTTGTATTAAACGTAAACAAAGAACGATGTTGATCACTTCAGAAAGATCAGAGACTCTTTGAAAACAATAAATCTAACAATAGTTTCTTTAAATTTTCTTTTATTAAAAGACAAGTAATTTCAACTTGAAAAAAAAACTTATATTAAGTTTTCTTATAAAATTCACTGTCAACACATGTATCATCAAGATTTGTTATTGTCTTAACCGTTTCTAATGATGTTCGTCTTTGCCATAATCGATGTATAACTTCAAATTCTTGTATATGTCGTCGTTTATTATAGAAACAACAACATAATTTTCTATAAAACCATATTTGATAAAATTCTCGTACATAAAAATCATTTGGTAGAACATAAATCATATATGTTAATATTTGTGGTGCATAGAGAAGAAAAATAAATCCAATATGTAAACGAATTATAAATGTTGATGAATTAAATAAATTAAAATCAATTATATAACGATATAAACCATGTAAAAATATACATAATATAATAAATAATGATGGTACCATATAATTTTGATAAGCAAATATTCGTTGAATGAAATTTTCTTTTACTTTTATTGATAGAATACGTATTATACATATTAAATGAATAAAACATGGAAAGATTATACAAAAGAAAAACATAATGTTTGACCATGGTTTATATGTATATTTATCATATACACAATAGAGATTATTCGATTGATCAGTTATTAAATAACGTGAAAATATTTTATCAAGATTTGATACTGAAACAATAAGAAATATGAATAATGAAATAAATAAAGATGATTTACGTGAACGAAATTTATCGAAATTGAAACATTTTATTAAAACATTTTCAATTGCAATAGCAGCACTTATTAAAGTACTTGTATAAACCATATTAAGAGATAAATATGGATATCCATGACATGCCCATAAACGAAATATATATTTATCATAATAAATAGCAGTTAGAACGTTTGTTAAAATTAAAATCATTAACAATAAACTACATATAGAATAGATAATTAGATAAATTCCAAATGTTGTATATCGAATACGATCACGAATAAATGTCATCAATGCAAAGATATTATTTAGTAATCCAATTAGAGCCAAAATAATGAAAATCCATATATACATATGCCATAATGATGGAAGATCATGATGTGTTGCTCCAATTATAGGAAGAATTAATGCATTGGAATGGATACTATACTGATCAGTAAAATAGTTTTCTTTAGGATAAATACAAAAACCGAATAGACATCGATTTCCATTTTGACAGTGACTACTGTTTAAACACAACATTATTGATCAAAGCAAAAAATATAATTACAATCTTTTATATATATATACATTCAAATGACGTAAATCGATTTTCTAAATGTATTATTTGCATATTTTCGAGATAGAAGAAAATATATTAATTTTCGATTTCCATTGCATTTTCAAGTACAATCTAATCAATCATGTAATATACGACTTCCAACTATAATTATCAATAAATGTATTTATTTAAGAATATTATAGACTATTTTTGTAATATGCGTCTATGTATTTCTTTTTAAGTATTTTCGACTCTTTAGTATCAGGTGAGTCAGAAAGATTTTCGTCGCAAATGTATAATCAGCCGAATATATACATATATTTATGAGGAGGTTTGAAGTGAAATCATATGAAAATATTTTTCAATAATCTTGATTTATTCACAAAAGTATTCTTAAATTAATTTATTGTTTTCGAAAATAAAACAGTTTATTAGTACATATTATACTTTTAATATAAGTAAATGATGTTTATTAAACTAGATATTCAAAGTAATTTACGTAGACAATATTTTGCTACATCGGAACAATTGTGCTGTTAACATTTATTGTATCAACAGCTATTGGCATATGTATGAGATTATCTTTATCAAAGATTCAAATATCAATGGCATGATAATGATTCTTAGTTTTTTGGAAAGAGTTCATATTGATTTAAATAAGTATTTATAGAAAATAGAAATAACATAAGCTATCTATACATTGAACATTATTAATGAAAGCATACTTCCATCTGATGATTAGCTAGTTGTTGCTTAATTTTATTTTAATAATCAAATAGGAGATGCAAGTAATGGTGTATTTTTATTTAAGTAGAAAAGCACGACTTTGTATTTCTTCTGATAAATCATATATTTTATTTCAAGAATATCGTCACTAATGACATATATTAACAATGGAATACAATAAAACTGTCGTTAGCTGTACTCATTCTTTGTGTCAATCATGCGATGTAAACATTGTGTTTAAAGTAATTTTTATGTTTCAATTAACTTATTTATTCCAGGTTTAATAATTAAATTCTTATTTCACATATAAAAGTAGTTGTTAAATCATGTACTGAGTTTTATTTTTTTATACTGTTATTATAAGATGGAAAGTGAAGACATTTTCTTTATTATCATTGGTATACTCTATATTCTTATTCTTCTAATCACAGCTTTATTCTCATCAATTATTGTATTTATTATCATTTCTCATTGGTATTCGCATTGTCGATCAATCTCAAATCTTCTCATTTGTAATTCTTGTACTGCTTTTCTTATTTTTGTTCTTAGTATTGCCATTCAAATACCATATGTATTTCAAACTAATCAAAAAGAAAACAATTATTCAAACACAACATTTTGTAGATTTCGTGCTTGTTTCTATTTATTTTGTTGTATTGTAAAAATATTGTCTTATCTTATTCAAGCAATTTCACGCTATTTTATAATTGTTCTTCATAGACATCGGCAACTTTTAACATATCGTACCAACATCATAATGATCATATTCAATTGGACATTTGGTATAATTATAGCATGTAGTTTCTTGATCTCACCAATAGGTTTTCAATATGAATCTGAATCTCATTTATGTGTTTTAACTAGTAAAGTATTTCATACATCATTTACATTAATGGTAGTTGCATTTGTAATTCCTGTAAATATTATTATTGTTCTTTATGCTCTTATTTTGAAACATACGACACATACAAATCGTGTTCAACCAAGTACTATTACAAGAAAAAATAATAAACGAAATCTCAAAGTATATCGAAATATTCTAATGCTATTGGGTATTGTACTAATTGGTGGAACACCATATCTTTTATGTATTCTAATTAATAAATTCAGTGCAACTCCATGGCCATTATATTCAATATCCATATTACTTATCATGCTATCAGCTGCTGTTGAATCGATCACAATATTTCTCACTAATAGAGATGTCAAAAAAATCTTTTATGCTAAACTCAGTATTTATCAAACAGAAGAAATGCAAACATTTACGACAACTCAGATACCAACGATAACAATAAATGCATAGTTATCAAGACTAGATTTTCTTATTTATCTACAATAATGATTGTTGTATTTGTTTTGTAAAAATAAAATTCGTTGCTTTTTTCATTGTATGAACATTATTGTAAAAGATTGCATGACACTTTTTTAAATGAAAGATTTGAAGAAATGGTGCAAAAATCAAAACGGAAGAAATTGAGATTCTTTGAAAGTGTACTTCAAATTCCATTTAAAATAAATATTATGAAACTTCAATATAAATATTATATATTAAAGATGCCTTGTTCAATTCTATTCTATTCAAACAATTAAAAAGTATGATCAAAAGTATTTTTTCTGATACCTGCATAAGCATAGTAAAGAAAAAGTATAATTGTAGTTTAAGAATAAAATTTGCATATAATCATGAACAATATGTGAGAATATTATTTCACCCATTGAAATTCATATTTATACTATAAATGATATTGTGAAATATAATCTTAATATCAATGTTGTTTAATGAAACATAAGTGATTGAATCAATTCATCAGCTATTTCATTCACATCGCCTTCGAGTTTAATAACGCTTTGAATCTTTTTGATACAGCCGTTTATAGCATTCGATACATCGAAGAATTTTATAAAGTTCATTGAATTTTTTTTTGTAAGGAATAATTCTATGGTTGATGAATTAGTTTACTTCCTAATAATTATAATCCCGCTTTGAAAGGAATAAAAGTAGGTAGTAAAAAAATGAAAGGAAGTGGATATGACATCGAACATATTTTTGAGGTAATTAGTGCTTTATGTTACACGTAAAAAATGAATAAAGATAAAAATGACATATTAACACGTGATAGTAGAGGCTTTTTTTTGATATTGACGAGGGAAAAGATTAGCAAAATCAATGGGTATTGATATGAAATATAGAAACAAAAAGCTAAAACGGAAGTGATTTTGATAAAAATTTGTTTTTTTGTTAATATCGCGTTTCTTTGATCGTTTTAAACTACTGCATATATATCAATCACTATCCTTAACTGAGTCATATAAAATGTAATTAAACGCATTGTTTGCGAATATTTATGACGGATATTTCTCCATTACGTCTATAAAATAATTTCAACAATCAATTCGAAGGTTAGTGTTTCTCTGAATAAATAAATTTATTTTGATTAAGATTAATCTCGAATACAATGTACTTATCTCGAATTTATGAGAGAGTACATGTCATAAAAAATATTTTTTTCTTTTAGTAAATAACAAATATTATATCATTAACGATGTGCATATACAACGTGACATCAATTTAATAAGAAAAAATATCGATACTAAGCATGATAGTAGACGACTATGCACAATAGGTATAACACACCGACTAGAACATGGTTGACACGGGTCGATGAACAACATGCTTACACGCATCGTTAAAATGTATTTCATAGTATGAAATGAAAAGCGAAGGCGTTATTGTATGATTAATATGACTGAATTCATGTTATCAACAAGATATCATTAATATTTATCAAACAAATATAAACACTATTGAGATTTCTTTAATTTAAATCTATTTTTAATGTTGATATGAATAATTACAAGTTAAGATGTTATCATAGTATATTATTTATCTGTTGATCATAAAGACAATATGATAATGTTTGAACAGATTTTAAATTTGAAGTAATGTATGTTTAGTATATTAACAATTGTTATTGACACATTAAAATTGATGAAGATAAAATCTTTGTTTTTAATTAGAATTCTTTTATTTTAGAATTTTATTTGAATAATCTAACAATAAGTCCGGATATGAAGGTAAACATTTAATATAATCTATATTTTATTATATAAATTTTAAAAAATGATATAGGTAAATAGTCTAACACATAAATTCACATCTCTACCTTCACAACTACCAATCCTGTATTTAAAACTACTTTTACGATTATTCTTACGTCGTTTATTTCCTGCAATATTATTGATTGTCAGTCTTTATTTTTTCATTGCTAATACCAAAAAAAAAGAGTATGAACAATCTACTCAACCTACGATTACAACTACCGTCTGTCTTAGCGATTGTGATTTTATACCATCAACTGATGAATTTATTCGTACATATACTCCGAAGACATTACTTGGAACTAAAAATGATACAACTCGTGTTGAACCAACAGTTGAACGAATTCGTCTTCTTTTGGAAAAAATTCGATCAAAAGAAGACAAGTATCAATCAATTTTAAATACATTCGATGTTTTCAATATGACAAATCCTAACATATCATTTAAACCATATTTATTTGGAAGTAATGTAGATGAAATAAAAATATTATACAATCGTTATATTAAATTAATGAATGATAATAAAACGATTCAAATTGATGAAACATTTATTGATTATTTAAGAAAAATTTCAAGTTATTTATCTGATAGTTTAAAAAATCAAAGAACCAATACAGTAAATGAAAAACAAATTTTTGTAGTTTTTACTCTTTTTCTTTCTTAATTAGTTTCCTGTTAAATGTTCTCGTAAACCAGTTTTTGTTCTGGCTTCCGATGGAGGTTTTTTTGATGGTCTTCAAGGTACTATTCATACATTAGATACCTTTTGGCCTAATTATACAATTATCGTTTATGATATGGGCTATTCACCTGCACAAAAAAACTTAGTATGAAATTTTATTAATTTAGTTTCTACTAAATGATTTTTTGTTATTTTTAATTAGCTTAAAACAAAATGTAAACAATGTACAGTTATCCAATTTCCATTTGCTTCTATTGAAAAAGTTGCACCACATATTCGTACGTTAGGCAATTATGCATTTAAACCATTTGTTGTTCAGGTTAGGATTTATAAATATTTTATTGTAATTATTTACTGATAAAAGTCATCGAGATAGACTCATGGTATATCGAAGTTCGACAATAGAATTCTAGCATTAGATAACATCTGTTAGAAGCTTTATCAGTGTTTTATTTAGGTTTTTCATTTCGAGAGTGCGACAGCGATTTCCGGGAGGGCGAAAACCTAATTTCTGGGGGGCAAATACATAGTATAAGCACAAAAATTGCAATTTTTGGGAGGGCAAAATCGTTCTCCGAGAGGGCGCCGCCATCACTGCCCTTCCTCTAGATAAATCACTGAGCTTTATCTAATGATTATATAAAAGTTAGATGGGGATATCAGTGATTTATACATCGTTATATATCACAGAAGAAAAAGCAGATGTTTCAATCGTAAAATATGATGAGGTTTCAGAAGTATGAAAGTTTCTTGTTTTTTTATCCATGTTATTAGTCGTTACTAACAAAAGACATGTCGATAAATTTCTCATTTTTAATCCAGATCATCTTTAATATAATTCGAAAAAATTTTACTAACAGCTTATTTTTTATTAGGAAAACAAAGATTTAAAAGGTTTAGAATATTTTTTTGAAAATTTCAATCGTAATCAATCGTTTCATAAACTTTCATATTTCTTGTGTGGATATATGATCTTAGTTAGTGTGAATTTATATAGGATGCTCTTCGTCGTTATGGACAAATTATTTATGGTGATTCATCAGCTCGTTTTAATCATAATTCATTCGATCCAGTTTTATACGACAATTACATTCGTGGTTTTGCTGCTCGTGAATTACCTGGTCATTTTTTACCTTGTTATACTCGAAGTGGTGCTTTTAGTTATTTTAATCAATCATATACTAACTATGATGATATATATATGGCTGAAGCAAATTTCTTAGTTGTTACAGATACATTTTTAACACGTCTAATTATGAAAGCATGGTTAATGTGTGCACTTGATACAGATTGTTTAATTACTGAGAGTACAAAAGCACTGTGTAGTAGAACATCTGCTGGAGTACATCGATATGATCAAAGTGCAATGGTAATTATTTTAACACATTTCTTCTTTCAAGGTAATAGATTAGGATGGTTAAATGGAAATGCGAACGATCCAACACCGTATGATATGTTTACAAGTGTCATAAAACATTTAGGTGATATTAAACGTGGTGAACGTGAGCCAAATTATCTGCCAGAAAAAAAGATACCATAGAAATTTACATTAATTATTTTCTATTCTCGCAACCTATAATAACAAAATAATGATTTGTTTTTTTGATTACATAGATATTTTATTTATTTTTTATCATTTTTGTTATTGTATATAAAATCTTAATTAATATTCTTTTGATTGTATAAAAAACAAATTATTTTATCAAACGTAATTCTCTAATCGCAGTGATCGACAGTAGAATTAAGTAGTAAATGTATAACTTGAAAATATTTCTTCTCAGATGTTTTGTATAGTAGTATAGAACAACTGTAATATAATTGTGAAATTGTTTTGATTACAAAGACTAGACCATATTTTGCAACATAATCGAATGAAAACAAAACATTTCACACTCTCCAGACAGGAAGAATGCCCATTTCAAATGATAATAACTATGATTATCGATGAGAATAAAGCTGACATAAGAATGAACATAATACAAATCATTTTCAGAGAAATAACTGTCTCATATCTGTGACAACTTTTGATAAGGGAGATACTATTTAAGGGTTAGGCTATGTATTTTTATTTCAAGTATCAAGAATCACAGCTAAATTGTATTTTCATCATTCTTTATATACTGTGAAAGATGGAAGTTCACATACTAGAAAAGCATAGAATCAAAAGACAAGTTTGATACAGAAAAACTATTTTTATCATGCCATAAAAGTGAGGTGAATGTACGATATAAGAACAAACTGAAAATGTGATTTCTAAATGCAAAACAAGGCATCGCGGTTATTTCTCTTAAGAATAGGTAACGGATTGCTACAATGTCTTATTACAATTCACTCCGACAATTTTTTCCTAAACATTATCAAATAGATCAAATGTTGTTAATAAAACAGTATGAAACATAACAATTTGAAGATAAGTTTGATGAACTGAGGAAATTAGGATAGTGTCAACTTTGACATGATATGTCATATAGCAAAAAAAAAAGAAAAATCTCGTATTTCTGTTTGTGTTATGCAAGAGACGGCATAATTTATGCAATGTATTAACTTTAACGATGGATAGGATCACACGACTAGTGCAAAACATTTCGATATCTATAAAAAAATAGAATACTTTTCATCTATGAATACTGATGAAAATAATATTGATTGCTGGTTACAAAAATTTAGTTTCATCTTTTAAAATATTGATATTCCTTCCATGTATAAGTATTTTTCTTAGATCTGTTCCTTTTTATTGTGCATCATAAAATAACCATTGATTTAAAACTTCTTGTACGTATCTCTATTTTATTTTTTTTTCAAAAGGCAAAAAAGAATCTTCACAATAAACACAACAAAAGAAAAGAAAAGAAGTCATGTATGTTTTACATACGTTTCCTCTTGTGTATATTATTAATAATAAATGCAATGAAGAAGCAAACTGTAACTATGCCATGTGTGTGAGAAAGAAAAGAAAACAATATACTCTTTTTTGATATACTCGGATCTGATAAATATTTTTTTTGATTATATGCAGATCTGATGAATATTTTTTTTTGATTGTACTCAGATCTAATGAAAAATCTCTATCTGCACACGCATGCGAAAAAAAAGAGAGAAAAAAAAAAAAGAAGAATCAATGTTCGTTTTAAATTTAAACAAACCACATGTCATTTGCAATTTTGGAATCAAGAACCATTAATTTTGTTTTTATATCATCCATCGAAACATTTTCAATATTTTCAACAAAACCACCATTATCAGATCCTTGATCAAGATTATCATCAAAATCAAATGTACGTGATGCATATGCAGCTAAATGAGCGTAATGAATTGGTGCAGGAACTGATACTGCTTTTGAACAGCGAGCATCAGTATGACAGAGCTAAAGAATAAAACAAAATTATGATTGCATTTTTTAAATGATTCTATAATGTATTGTTACCCAATAAGTTAACTGTTGAATTTCATCACTTGTAAAACCAATTTCATCATGAAGAACATGATAAAGTGCTGGACGAGATGTTCCCATACTAAAAACAAAAGAACTCAATAGATATTTTTAAAAGAAAAAGAATATTCTTACAGTGCTGCTTGTGAACATAAATAAAAATCGAACTGAGACGGATGTGTGATTTGATGATCAACAACTGTTCCTGCTTCAACATTTTTTGTCATTTGTCCATCATAAACAAAAAATCGTGTATTGTGTCGTTTTTTTACAATAATAAACGTTAATTTTGGTTGTGCTCGATTAACATAAATAGCTTAAAGTAAAAAATAAAGAAAATTAGTTAATTAATTTTTTCAAGAAAATTCCTTTACTTCGGAATGCTTGTTTAATTTTAGCAACTTCATTGTCAAGTACTTTTTGATATTGACCATCATCAACACCATCACGATAAAAAACAATTTTATTTGGTAAACGATTTGCACATGAACGAGCAAATACTTGAAGTAAATCAATAATCATTGCATCCAAGTCCTTGATAATTTCCATTGAACAACGGCCCAATTTTGGATATTCTAATATTAGAAAAATGATGAAAAAAGAAAATTTATATTAAACCAACATACGTTCACAAAGACGTGCTGCATATAGAGAATTGGTTGGATCACGTGAACCAACAACAGCTGCAATGGATGGACGTTCAGCTGAACATGTTGTATGTGTTACCTAAAACAAAACGATTATTTTCTATCTAGTTTAGAGCACATCGGATTGAATCGTAATTCTACTGTAATTAAATCAAAATGTAAAGATTAGTTTTTTTTGTATATTTTGTAGGAATGAATACCCTAGTTTTCTTTTCCATCATTAAAGTACTTACATCAGCTCCAAAAAACATAAAAAGATCTTCGTTTGATGGTCGACTTAAAGCTGCCTTAAGATTAACAATACCATTAATACATCCCATTTTTGCATTAATCTTTTGACTTAAATTTTGGACATCTTAAAAGAACAAAATAATAAAGTTTTATCGAATAAAAAAATTCTTTCATCTCTATTTCTTACACATATCAAGTTTTCCAATATTTTTTTCCAATGATTGATAACTAACACATTGTGTAACTAAACCATAACGTTGATTACCACATTGTTTAACATAATCATAAACATTGTCAAGGGTATTATTAAGTACAACAACGGTTAATTGCCAATGTTCTTTACTAGCATTAACTAATGTTTTTTCAATTTCTTCTTTAGTTGGTGGTTTAGCTATTGTTATTGGTTTAGATTTAATAAGTATGCCATAACGTTGTAATAACTAAAAAAAAAGGAATAAAGGTATGTTATTTTTTCGAAAAATTAAATAAAATGCAATGTTATTACAGATGGTAATTGTGTTTCAAAATCTTTCAATGTTTGAATAACATTTTCAGTTGGTTTCGAACCAAAATAAACCATTCCCCATTTACTAATATCACGTGTTGTATAAAAACGATTACGTATTGTCCATTTACCAAAATTAACACGTTCGGTTACATCGGAATTACCTTGACCACGATATTTAACTTCAGGTGGTGGTAAAATTCGTGCTTTTAACTGAAGCATTTCCTTTGTTTCAACTTTAATATTTAATTCTTTCAAGTACGGATCACTGTCAAATTGACGATTTTGAACAACATTCATGATTTGATTATAGCGTTGATCAGGTTTAATAACTGATTTTTTTGTTACTAATGCTCGTTGAACACTATCTAATGGTTTTAACGAACGTTCCCATGCAACAAGCTAAAGAAATGAATTCCGATAAATTTTATCTTTTAAATTTTTAAATGATATACTTTAACGAATTCCATAGGTAACCAATTAGCTCGCTTTTGAGTACCACTCATACCATCAATACATGGCAAGTGTGGATATTTCAATTTTTGATATTTTTCAGCAAAAAAGTCTGCAACACTTATTTTTTCACCTAAGGATGCATCGCCAGCATCATCGCTAGCACCACGTACAAACATGATTTGATTAGCTGGTAAACCAAAACCACGTATACGATAACGAATATCACGACCTGTATGTAATGTTTCAACTAAAAAATAAATTTAAAAATAAGAAACAATTTTTTTGTCAAATATATTAACATACTTAGCATATTACGAACAATACGTTTAAAACCTTGCAATTCAATTTCACTTAAACCTTTTGTTATATCTTTACGAAGATATTTCGTTGCAAATTCAACAAAATTTAATGGCATATAAAAACAAGTAAATGCTAAATTGATATTTAATGTTGGGCCACCTTGTGTAAGAAAAAGTGCTTGATAAAAACCATTTGCCATACCACGACCGTCACCTAAAAAATGTCGACCATAGATTTTAGAATACTTAAGATTTTCTATATGCTTATTGACTTAAAAAGAAGAGAATTTGTCCAACATTAGAAATTTAATCATGAAAAGCTGAAGTGACTTTTAAAATTTTTCTATGAATAAATACTTACCAAGATCATCCAATTTTTGTTTGCGATCATAGAATTGATTTCTTATCGCAATAAGATCATTTCTTGCTCGTTGTTTAAAAAGTGTTTCAATAATTCGAATGGAATCTCTTGGTCGTATTGCAGTCTTTTTTTCAATAAAATCAAATATATCTCGAATTTTTTCTTGTCGTACGAGATTAAGAACTTGAAACTGGAATGTCTTCTCTTCATTATTGAGATTGAATGTTATTTGTAATGGTTTGGTAAAATCAGTTAATAATTCTCTTGTATAAATCGTTTTACCTTCATCATACCAAATAATCGGAAAATTTTTTTCACGTTTAGCTATACGTTGAACAGTTTCCCAACGTTCATCTTTTCGTGCTAAACGTGGTTTTTTATCACGTCCAATCATAAAAATTTCAATATCATATTGATTTATAATAGCATCGTCAACTTGAATACGAAAATGGTTTGTATATACATCAACTACTTTACCAGCTTTTCCGCCTTGATCAGGACGACGAATTGGTGTTAGAACAGCCGATTCAGGTACAGCAGAATGTAAATATGAACGTCGAGCTGTTGGCTGAGCACTTCGAGAACGGACAACCGGCTGTGCTACTGCAGAA